CCACCCCTTACTAAGCATAAAGAATAGTTAGGATGGACTAGGTGAGATTTGAAGGTTTTTGAGGAGGTTCGCTGGTTTAAATTGTTCTTAAATGTGAGCACAGCTTTTGAAGGCCTTTTTTAACATTTGCTGTGTTTTTTGTAATGCACCTCTTGCTTTCTTTTAAAACTTTATGCAGTCAGTTGAAGTGCCACAGGTATATACAACTGAATGAATGAAGTGTGAGCATTCTCTCTCTCTCGGCAATAACCTGCCTTGGTTCCTTTCATCTTTTCATAATCGCCTAGCTAACGTGCTTCAGTCTTTTGGAGGGGCTTGCAGTTTTATGGCCCCCTTTCCTACATTCTAACACTAAAGCAGTGTCCTAGACTTCGGCTTAACTGCTAGTGTAGGGGAAAGCAATGGTTAAAAACCAAAAATCAAATGTTGCACCTCCTCCTTTACAGCCTGCAAAACACTTCTGCTTGGCTTACAGTGGACATTTTAACATCCAAGGTTTACTCACTTACAGACTTCTTCTTTTTTCCCTTTTTTATGATGTTACTTTTTGTACTATTTTTTTTGTTTTTCTTTTATATTCACAGTTAAGCTGTAGTACTTCTTGAAAGTACTTTTATTCCAAATCTAGTGGATGGTGTTTACTAGAAGTTTAAATAAACGGTCATTATTGCTTACCTGTATGAATTTTGTGGATCTTCTTTGCATTGCCTGTAATTTTAAAAGTGTGAGATAAGAAATCACAGGTGATGAATATTGAACATAACTGCTTGTTATGGTTTGTAATGGTCACTTTACTTTTGTAATAACCTTAAAATCACAACTTCTCTTTTTATACTTGAAGAAAACCTGTACTGAAGAATATAAATAGGCTGCCAATTAGGGATGTTTAGATACCAAGTACCGTACTCGGTACAAGCACAGATACTTTTCCAGCTCCAAGACTACACTAGAGAAAAATTCAAAGTTAAGAGGCAGCTGTTATTTGTAAGGAGCACACGGAGCTCCTGGGATTTGTCCATCCCTGTTTAATGTATGATTTTGTTTTTATAAACATATATAAAGGGATGCACTGATACCAGTTTTGCAAGTACTGACACTTTCCCAAGTACTGATACATTTTTGTTTGTCACATGACCGTTTTTCAAAAACAATACAGACTAATGATTTCAGGACAGTGGTGGAGCGCCAGAGCCAGGTCCCAGCTGCAACCGCTGCAACCCTGGTAGTTCTCATGAAAATGTATCGGCACTGGTATCGGTGCATCCCTAATGCCAATGCTAGCCTCCTTCTGAAAATGGCTACTTGGGTACTTTTTTGATTACCTGACCCAGGATTCAGGTCAGTGACTCTGGGGAAAACATTGATGGGATCTGTTTGGCAGCCAACATTTTCAGGAGGTCAATAATAGTAGCGTATGTATTTGTTTTAGTACAGGTCTACTTTGAGCTTGCAAAAGTGATATAACTGCCAAAACAGAAACCAGATGGCATCAGGAAAATACGATGGCACTTCAGGCCTAGAACGTTCCTGAATTTTAGATCAGGGTGAGGTAATGCTGCGTCCATGAGTAAGTGCCACATCTGTGTTCTAATGTGACACACTGCACCTTCTGGCTGGTGCAATGTAATCACACAGTTTGGAAGAAATACTGGGAAGCCACTATTTCGCAAGCCTTTGAGGTATTTTGAGTATATATATTTTTTTTTTCCTCCCCATGCATGAGAAAGCAAAATCAAATACAAAACAAAGAAAAGCCCTGCATTGCACATTTTCTGCATTCGGGGCCAGCATTGTGATACCCTGTTTCTTCATTTCAATCCACGAAGAATACTGTACCCAAAAGTGAGCAGATTATTGAAAAGAATCTGCAGAATACTTAACGCAGTTTGTGTGTAACGGATAATTTGACTAAGGCATGTTTTACACGGTTGGTATACAAATTGTGTTTCCATTTGATTCTCCCTGCTAATGTCCTGCAATACCATGTGGTAGGCTAGCAAGAGGCACACCAGTATAATTCGGGAGCCTCGGTAAAGGTAAGACCGTAATGCTGTTATGATATTCCCAAACGGGAAACAATCCATCCTTCTAGGCAGAATTTTCAAAACCTGATTCAGGAATAAAGATATTGCTCATTGGGCAGTTTAAATCAAAAAGATTGCATGTTTTAGTAAGGAGTGCAAACCCCTGTGCAAGATGAATTCTTAATCAGCAGAGAGATTGTCCCCCAAGAGTTTTCATGCAAGATTTTAATGTTCTACAAATTATTTGCCCTTTTGATGGTGCAGGGACTTGGTTCACACAGGTTTCAATCACATTTCCACATTTTTTTTACTTCTATTGACCACTAATGTAGTTATTTATCACTCTCGTGGACTCCTGCAGAGCGTTCCAGTACCTGCCAATCTATCTTGGACACTTCCAGGCAGAGTGGTGCCCTGCCCATTTGTTCCTGTACAGTCCTGGCTGTGACATCACCACAGGGAGCAGTGCAGAATATGGAACTGAACAGGCAAGACGGGGCACTATCCTTCTCAATGAACACCATTACTGGGACCAATGACACCAGGGCGTGTTATGTTCTGCATAAATCAATATATTGCGCATTTGTCAAAATGGTACCTATTGACACTTACTGGAATGGAAATATGTTTTTAGCTACGTGGAAGAATAAGGCTTAAAGAGTTATGCTACATTTTTATTTGCAGTTATCTTGCACATTTTGTGTGCATTGGTTGTTCATTTGGTTAGACATCTGTTTTGTATCATGTATTGCCACCTTTCACGTGACACATTTTAATGTGCAGGATGGCAGGCAGATCTGAAATAAGCAGAAGGATCAGCGCACATCTTATAGATGGAATTGGAGCAGAGTCTTCAACTCTGCTATGCTGAGCACTTCCTGCACACTTATTGCTGATAAAAAGGAAGACATCCATATAACCAAATCCTGCTTAAACAGATGTTGCAGTTACGACATATGGTTTTCAAAACAGAATATTTCATTGTTCTCATGGATGCCTGTCTTTCCTTTGTAACAAGAAATTAAAAAAATAATTTTCTTCAGAAATGCAAGTCCTAAATGGTTGTAATCCTCAGGATAATCGACTACTGGAAACCCCCAAATAAATTTGGCTTTAAACTTCTCTATCGGTTTTGAACAAGCTCATGCATCAACATAGCATACATCTGTATTTTTTGGCACCAAGTCCTTTTAAATTATATGTTTAGCCAAAACAAAAAAAACATGCAGTATGTTTCTGCTATGCAGGTGCATACCCCTTTAAAATGCAAAAGTACAGAATACCTACAAAAATACTTGTTGATCTGCCAGAAAACTCTTCCTGTTTGAGCTGGCGGCACAATGCCTTTGCTGCACCAAAATCCCAAGCCGTGTGGTCTTCCCTGCCAAATTCTCTTGTGACAGAATACAGAATTCCTTCCCTTTTTTTACATAAAGTGCTTTGTAGTCCAGCACAGAGATCTCAGGCATGGCTGATAACATAGGGGAAATGTGCATGTACATATATGTACTGATCATTTTTGTTTCGGGCATACACTTTAAGGCATAGTGCACACAAGCTTCAACTTGTACACTCATTGGCCACTTTATTAGGTGCACCTGTTCAATTGCTTGGTAACCCAAATTGCTAATCAGGCAATCACATGGCAGCAACTCAATGCATTTAGGTATCTAGACGTGGTGAAGAAGACTTGCTGAAGTTCAAACCGAGCATCAGATTGGGGAAGAAAGGGGGTTTACGTGACTTTGAACATGGCATGGTTGTTGGTGCCAGACGGGCTTGTCTGAGTATTTCACAAACTGCTGATCTACTGGGATTTTCATACACAACGATCTCTTGGGTTTACAAAGAATAGTCAGATAAAGAGAAAATATCCTGTGTGTACACGAAAATGCCTTGTTGATGTCAGAGGAGAATGGGCAGACTGGTTTGAGATTATAGAAAAACAACAGTAACTATAATAACCACTCGTTACATCCGTGGTATGCAGAATACTATCTCTGAACACACAACACGTCAAACCTTGAATCAGATGGGCTACAGCAGCAGAAAACTACACCGGGTGCCACTCCTGTCAGCTAAGAACAGGAAACGGAGGCTACAATTCGCTCAGGCTCACCCAAATTGGACAATAGAGGATTGGAAAAACATTGCCTGGTCTGATGTCTCAATTTCAGTTGCGACCTTCAGATGGTCGGGTCAGAATTTGGCATAAACAACATGAAAGCATGGATCCATCCTGCCTTGTACTAATGGTTCAGGGTGGTGGTGGTGTAATGGTGCGGGGGAATATTCTCTTGGCACACTTTGGGCCCGTGATGCTATCATGTCAATATGGACCAAAATCTCTGAAGAATGTTCCCAACACCTTGTTGAATCTGTGCAACAAAGAATTAAGGCAGTTCAGAAGGCAAAAGGGGGTCCAACCCAGTACTAGCAAGATGTACCTAATAAAGTGGCCAGTAAGGCTGGGTTCACACCTAGGCGTATTGAATATGCGCGTTTGTCGCGCGTTTCGACCGCGATCCGCGGTAAAAAAAATGCACGACAAACGCCCGTTTCCGTGGGCTACTTGGCTGTATCCCAATGGAAACGTGAGACCAAAACGCCCCAAAGAAGTACATGTGCTTCTTTGGGCGTAGGCCGTTTTGTATCGCGTTCGGACGGGCGGAAATATGGCAAGGTGTGAACCAGACCCATTGAATACAATGGGATTTAGATGTTTGAGCGTTTTGTAGAGCGTTCGTCGAGCGTTGAACGCGCTACAAAACGTTCAGGTGTGAACCTGGCCTAAGTGTATATTAACTGTGTGAACAGCGAGCTTTTGAGAGCTTTCAGCAAGCTTTGTTGAAGCTTTTAACCCTTTCGCTGCCATTGAACCTCCGGCAGGCTACTCATTGCTGTTCGGCCTATTCTCATAGGGCCCAAACAGCAGTGAATGAAATAGCCGAATGCCGGAGAGTGCCCTTCGGCTCAGCTATTCTATTCTGCTCGGTACCTCTATGGTACCGAGCAGAATAGAAAAAGTAGAGAAAAATGAGAAAATGATTGGGCGGAGCTAGCAGTGACAGCTCCGCCAAACTTTTTCTATTGCACGGGACCAAATGATATCTTAAAATGAGAGCTTGTCGGAACCGGCGGTCATATCAAAGCCGGCTCCGACAAGCTCTCATGACAGTCCACTGTCCCCTGGTTACTAGGTAACCAGGAGATGCTGAACTGTCATTGCACACTGAGAAC